TCTGCTCCACCCCATCTCAGGGCACACTCATATGCACGTGCTCTCTCTCTCTCAAAATTAAATAAATAAACTTAAAAAAATACATTTTCCAGTCCAGCAATTATCTTTTCTACTGGGGCTAAGCGGCTATTTAAGACCCTCATTTTAAAAAGTAATCATTTTATTTTTCATTTCTTGAAGTACTGTTTGGTTCCATTTCAGATCTGCTTGGATGTTCCTTACCATCTCTTGTTCCTTGCTAATATTTACAAGCTCCTTTTTTATTTCATTAACTATATACAATTTATATTTGGTCACTAATAATGTCAATATTTGATGTCTGTGAGAGACTGCTTCTGGTGTCCCCTGCTTGCTTCTTCTGATTTTTCCTTCATGTTTCTTCCTAGGCTTTGGGATGTTTCTGTCCTTTGAGCTTCTCATTGTCGTGGTGCTTTCTCTCTGGGGGCTCTTAGAGGCCAAACTTGAAGGTGAATTTGTGCAGGGAAGATTTGCATTTGCTCTTTCTAGTCAAGTCACCTGGTTGTACTACCAACTTGGGATCCTTTCATTTTGAAATATTCCATTATTAGACTAGCTGTGCTTCCTAATTTTTAGAAAAGTTTTCTTTCTTTCTTTCTTTCTTTCTTTCTTTCTTTCTTTCTTTCTTTCTTTCTTTCATCTGTCTTCTCAGCATCAACCATAAGATAGCAAATGTCCTTGCTGTGGCACCCCTCTTTGAGTAAATTTCTAAATTTATCTTTATGCTGAGGATATAGCCCCTTATGTTTTCAGTCTAATGCAAGGATTCTTCTAACAGGTTCCCTAGCTTGGTCATTCCCTGAGCATTATCTCAGAGTTGAGATTCAGGTCTCCAGAATCTGACAGAAACTCTCAGGGTGAAACCTGGCTTTGGAACTTGCGTACCTACCAGGATTCCTGTTTTTATTTACTTTTTGGGATCTGAAAATCCCTCCCATTTGTGCTGGTTTGTTGATGCATTTTAAAAGATGGGGTTTTTTTTTATTGTTGTTTTTGTTATTAAAAAAATTTTTTTGAAGTAATCTTTATGCTCTGCGTGGGGCTTAAACTCACAACTCTGAGATCAAGAGTTGCAGGTTCCACGGACTGAGCAAGACAGGCACCCCTAAAAGTATGTTTTAATAATATTTTAGGGGTGCCTTGGTGGATCAGTTGGTTAAGTGTCCTACTAAATCTCAGCTCAGGTCATGATCTCACAGTTCATGGGTTTGAGCTCTGCATCCGGCTCTGTGCTGACAGTGTAGAGCCTGTTTGGGATTCTCTCTCCCTCTCTCTCTGCCCCTTCCCTGTTAGCTCTCTCTCTCAAAAATAAACAGAGAACATTAAAAGTAAAAAAAAATATTTTAATCAAGGGGCGTCTGGCTGGCACAGTCTGTAGAGCATGTGACTCTGGATCTCCGAGTCATGGGTTCAAACCCCACAATGGGCATAGAGATTGCCTAAGGAAATAAAAGAAAGGAAGAAACTTCAAAAGAATTTTTGTTGGGATTGTCATTCAGGGTATCTGTATTAGTCAGGGTTCTTCATCTAAAGAGATTGTGTAAAAGAGATACAGTAAGAGAGAAAGATTTTAAGATTTTAAGATTGTGGGGGCTGCAAGTCCAAAATCCACGGGGCAGGCCGGCAGCCTGGAAATTCCAGCAAGAGTCACTGTTGCAGTATGGAGTCCAAAGGCAGGTCGGAAGGCAAAATTCCTTCCTCTTCAGGGACTTTTCTCTTTTCTCTTAAGGCCTTCAACCAAGTGGATGAGGCCCACCCATATTACGGAGGGTAATCTGCTTTACTCAAAATCTGCTTTAACCACTTATAAGAAATTCCTTCATAGCAATATCTAGACTGGTGTTTGACCAAATACTGGGCACCATAGCCTAGCCAAGCTGCCACATAAAATTAACCATTACAGCATCTAATCCACCAAAATGCTGGAAACAGAAGCCAGAGGGATAATTTCTCATGATGAAATGATAGCACAATCAAGGGACACAATAATGTCATGCTCCAATGCAAATAGGTTTAAGGTGACACTGGGCATTTTCTTAGGAAGCTGACAGACTTCCATTTTCTCAGTCTAGTGCTTACTATAGGCTTATAATGCTTACTATAGGTGCTACAGGTTGTGGCAAAAGTGCTCTTCCATGTAAAATTACAGGAAAAGGAGGTCACACTTAATTGCCTCAAGTTGTAGGCCATAATGATGCAAACTATCTTGGAAAAGTATATTATTTACTCAAATTTGCCAAAATTCAGTAAGTACCTTATAAAAATATAAAGAAACCCAAACTGAGAAGAGAACAACATTGCAGGGGGATCAGAATAATGATCGTCCCTGTGTTAGAATCTAGAGGGTATTTTCAGGTGATTAAAAAGATTCTTTTTCTCCTCTTCCTGGTTCTTCTGCACATTCATGGTTTCTTAGAAGTCTAGAAACAGATGACAATCAAAAATTTTAAATCCACGAATTACCTAGCTATCCACATATAGAATGTTGATACTTTCTTCACAGTGAATAACATTAAGCTAGTTTATAATGCTTTTCAGGTTTGGAAAAGCTTTTTTTGTCCTATCTGATTTTGGGGAATGCCTCTGGGGAGGAAGGAGTAGGGGAATGGTGTCAGCCATCAGGAGGAAAGGAGGCAAGAGAATCTTGCAGCCTCTCTGTTCTTCTTTCTTGGTTTCTCTCTCGTTTTCCCTTTCTATCATGAAAAATTGGACTCTGCCCCAGCATGAAGCATTATTGCAGAAAACGAAACAATGAAAAGTTTAAAAAAAGGATTTCAAGAGGGACGCCTAGGTGGCTCAGTCAGTTGAGCATCTGACTTTGGCTCAGGTCCTGATCTCACGGTTCAGTTCATGAGTTTGAGCCCCGCGTCTGGGCTCTGTGCTGACAGCTCAGAGCCTGGAGCCTACTTCAGATTCTGTGTCTCCCTGTCTCTCTGCCCCTCCCCTACTCATGCTCTCTCTCTCTCTCTCTCTCTCTCTCTCAAAAAGTAAACATTAAAAAAAATTTTTTTAAAGGAATTTCAAGATAGATGTGCAGTCAAGAGACTGGAAGAAAATATGAATAGTGGTTATCTGGAGGGTGGAATTATCAATTATTGTCTTCTTTATATTCTTCTGTCTTCTTTCAAAGTTTCTACAACAAACACAACTTTATACTAGGAGCAAAATTATCTTTAAAATTATTTTACAGAACAAGAACCTAAAATACCTTGAGGATTTTGTGTGTGTGTGTGTGTGTGTGTGCGCGCGCGCACGCGCACGCGTGCAAAAGGTGATTTTATTAAAGCACAGGGACAGGACCTGTGGGTAGGAAGAGCTGCCGAGGATTTTTTTAAAACACAAATGGGTTTTCCCGACGCACAGGGTTTAAGACTAAGATTTTAAACACTATAACACCATTTCCAAATAAGATATTTCGGTGTCAAAAAACTTACTTTTATGCTAGCAAAACTGAAATTTGCCAACTGGTAACACATTAAGATAATTTGATAAATTTGTGTGGAAATTTTTAATATTTGAGCTCAATCCTCCAGAACTTATGAACTTTTCATTGTATTATCACATTTTAAAACTGTTTTGCTACAACTAACATTTTTTTCCAGCTTTTAATTTAAGCTGGTATTTTGTTTTTGAGATATATAGTGGCCTCTAACATTTGTTACCTCTTTCAAATCCCTACAGTCTACGTGTAGGCTACCTGTAGTAAGAACTCTTAGAATCCCAAATCAAGAGGCAAGTTCATTTGTAAAAGCTATGACTCTTTGAACTGCATAAATATGGAAAGCCCAGAAAGATCAGTTTAGAAGCAGAGGGGCTCAAGGTAGTTCCTTCTGGGGAGTAATCACATAAAACAGGAAATCTGTGAACACAGATACATTCTTAAGTTTCTCTGCAGAGGGTAACTACTGGCTGAGCTAGAGAGGAATTAGTATTATTGGTAAGACCTCCTAGGACTTGACTGGCTTTTCTTGAAAGGGGAAAAAGAATACTAAAAGGTTAGGCAATAAAAAAAAAAAAGTTCTGTGCTGGCATTCCATTGTTCTTCCCTGGAAAGTTATAAGGATGGTGCTCAGTGACCTCTCTGAAATATCACAAAGAGCAGTGGCATCTGGATTAGTAGAGAAATTAACATGCAGAAGAGACTTCAAAGGCCCCTGCACAGATCCAGAAAATTCTTTAATGTATCCGTATACATAAATTGCATGTATACTAAATTAAGCTGTGTAAAATATCTCTAGATAGACCTACAGCCTCCTTGTTTGTCAGGTGGCTATAAGAAGGGATGCTGGACCACCTGTAGTTCTTAACAGTAAACAGATCGACCTTTCACTCGGCAAAGCAAAATTCAGAATGAAGACTTTAGAATTTCAGAATGAAGACTTTGTCACTTTGCCGAAAAACATTAAATATACTACTACAGACTGATGTGCGAAAAGAGAAGGGGAGGAGAGTTGAGAGAAATAAAATGGAGGTGCAAAACAGGAAGACAGAAGGGAAGAGAAGAATAAGACAGGGTGAAGGGGGACAGGAAAAGAAAACGTGGATTGAATGAGGGGATTAAATTGGGGGGAATGGGGAATAATGCATCTCTGCAGGGCCCCTCTTCCCAGGAACTTTTAAAATAGAGAACCCAACCCATAAACAAGATGTAACCTTTCAGCAGAGAAAACATCCAACTTTCTTAGTTGTTAGGAAGTCTCTTCACACTGGGAGGAAATCTTCCCCCTTGTGGGTGGGTCTCACTCATGTTGAGAACAAAGAAAAAGGAATTGATACTAGGGGTGGTGTACAACGGTGAGGTTGCCATCCATTATTTCTGGCCCAGTTTGGTGATATCTAATCCTATTAATGCTTGGTATTAGAAGACTCTTTTATTTCCATCCTTCTCTCTGTTCTGTTTTTGTGGGGTGAGGTGAGGGATGGTTAGAGAGTTGGTGTGAATACATAGAACTGATCCTAACAAGATTTTCTAATCTCTCTAGCAAATCACAGACTTGCTCATCTCTTCTCGACTTTTCCCTGGCCCTTGTATTTTTCTCACAAGAGCAAACAGGAAGACTAATGAAGCGTATTGATCTAATGGAAACTTGTGACCAGATAAATGATCGAAACCTGGATTGAAACCTGGAAGAATGCACTTGAAAACTGTGCCCTACTCATTTTCTCCATGCTTGTCCTGTCTCATAACGTTTGATATCTTGGCCAGTGGGAGATATTTTGCCGTTTGTCCATCGTTTGTCATGTGTTATGTGATGGAGGGGTCTTGTAGCAGCAGAAAAAAAGAGCAGCTTGTCCTGGGCTTTCCTTTCAAAGTCCCATTAACAGGTTGTGTGATGCTGTGTAAATCACTTAACTAAGCTTTCCCCAGAAAGATGGGAGATGGGAGGACAGAAGTTTGGCCCTAGCAAACCCCTACCTACCCCCAAACAATCGTTAGCTCAGTTTGTAGCCTATCAGTGTCAGTATATGTTAAACTGTAGGCAAAGTGAAAAATACTGCACTCAAATAAGGTGTGTGTTATAAATTGATAAGTGGAAAGAGGAGGTAAGGAGACAATTAAAACACTTGTAACATAGGCTGAAAGTTGACCAGTTAACTAAAAGGCCTTTGGTTCCATAAACTTAATGGAACAGCTGAAAAAGTAGATGTTTCAGTCATTTTTAGGACTGCAAATCTATTAGATTTTAGATTTTTTTCATGTACTTCTAGACCCGTAAAATCTTATGATTGCTGAATCTGAATTCCTAATTATTTTTTATTTCTGAATCTGAAAGTCACTAATGTCTTATTTAATTTTGTAACAAGAACAAATACATATTTGAAAAATAATAACGCGGGTCACCTGGTTGGCTCGGTTGGTGGAGTGTGCAACTCTTGATCTTGGGGTTGTGGGTTTAAGCCCCATGTTGGGTGTACAGATTACTTGAAAATAAAATCTTAAAAAAATAAAAGAAAAGAAAAATGATTACTCAAGATTTGCTCATGCCAACTGGTAAGAAATTTCTATCTCTTGTGATGAGTGGATATAGCGTCCAAAAATACAATAATAGTAATAACAAAACAGCAAAAACTACCTCTTATTTTCTTAATCTTTTTTTAAATGTTTATTTATATTTGAGAGAGAGAGAGAGACAGAGGGCAAGTGGGGGAGGAGCAGAGAGAGAGGGAGACACAGAATCTGAAGCAGGTTCCAGGCTCTGAGCTGTCAGCACAGAGCCCAATGTGGAACTCGAACTCAGGAGCTGTGAGAGCATGACCTGAGCTGAAGTTGGATGCTCAACCAACTGAGCCACCCAGGTACCCCAATAAGTACCTCTTATTGACTCTTATTATGTCCCAGGACTTTGCAAAATTTTAGTTCTCTTATCTCATTTAATCCTCACATACATCCATAAGATAGTTACTGCTTTAGCCTCATTTTGTAGGTAAGTTAACAGAGGCCTATTTTAGGGACTGAACCCAGAATTGCTCATGAGAAAATGCATCAAGATCCATTCACTCACTTTTTCTATAACATGTGTAGTCCATCTGGACATGTTGACACTGAGACACAGATGAGGATCCTGCCCTCATGAAGTTCATAGTCTCCTGGAGGATAGAATCTCCACTCATTTTTGCTTAATAACTGCAAAAATGCAGATTTAGATTTAAAATCATATTTCTTTTCAAGAATTGGCCATACGTACTTTTGAAAGTTGGCTCTCAGTTGTATGGTAATTCTATAATTTTTTAAAACAATTATAATTATGAGACACATTTAGTTTTTTAATTTTTCATAATATTGAGATATAATGGACATACCATTAAGTTCACCTTTTAAAGGTGTATAATTGGTATAGTCACAGAGTTGTGCACCAACCTTCTCAAGTTCCAGAACACTTTTATCACCCCCCAAAAGAAAGTGTATTTCCATTAGCAATCATTTCCCATTTTCCCTTCCCACTAGCCCCCAGAAACCACTAGTTTACTTTCTGTCTCTGTTCTGGACATTTCATGTGAGTGAAATCATACACTATGTAGCCTTTAATGTCTGGCTTCTTTCACTTAGCATAATGTTTTCAAGGTTCATCCTGCTGTAGCATGAATCAGTACTTCATTTACTCTTATTGCCAAATAATATTCCATTGTATGGATATGCCATATTTTATTTATCCATTTATCAGCTGATAGACATCTGTGTTGCTTCTCCTTTTTGGCTATTACAAATAATACTGCTATGAACATTCTTGTGTGTTTTGTGTGGATGAACATTTTCAATTTCCTTGTATACATGTCTAGAAGTAGAATTGCCAGGTTATATGGTAACTCTATGATGGACTTTTTGAGGAACTGCCAGTTTTCCAAAGTGGCCACAAAATTTTACATTTTCATCAGCAATGCATGAGGGTTCCAGTTTTTTCACATCATCTCCAACACTTGTCATTGTCCATCTGTTTGACTATAGCCATTCTACTGTGTGTGAAGTGGTAGGTATCTCATTGTGATTTTCATTTGCATTTCTCTAATGACTAAAGACATTGAGGAGACATTTATTTTTATGATTTAGAATAATCCTGGGGCACCTGAGTGGCTCAGTTAAGCATCTGACCTTGGCTCAGGTCATGATCTCATGGTTCATGAGTTTGAGCCCCATGCTGAGCTTTCAGCTTAGAGCCTGGAGCCTGCTTCAGATTCTGTGTCTCCCCCACTCTCTCTCTACACCGCCCCCCCACACTTGTGCTCTCTCAAAAATAAATAAGTAAAATTTGAAAATAAATAAATAAAATAAAATAATCTTGACTAGAGGAGCACAACAGAACTACTTGAGGAGCTTTTACAAGACAAGACACTACATGGGCTTCACATCACTTAAAGTGGTAAAAATATTTGCCAGGATGGCCTATTGATGTTTAGAATGTAATAGAAAACCAACTCAAAATGGCTTAAGCAATGAGGAGAATTATCATTTCATGTAACAAGAAGGACAAGGTCAAAGCTGTTTAACACAACCACTCAGTACTATCATGGAGATCCAGCTTCCCTCCGTTTTTCTACCCTGGGCCCACCTGCATGCTTGCTGCCTTGGTGGTAGCAAAATGGTTGCTGGAATTCTGGGCAGTCTATCTGGACCTGAAAATGAAAATGTCCAGTGGGAGAGAAATCTAGCTGTCTTTTCTTATGTCTTATTGGCCTAGAACTGTATCACAGGCCTAAATCTAAACCAATCACAGGTAAGAGAAATGGGAATTCCATGTGTATGATTTAGTTGAGGTGAGATTTACTACCTTCCTGAATGGGAACTATATAGGAGTTCTGCTAACAGGGAAGAAAGGAGAAATGGATGTCAGGTGAGCAACTTACAATGTCTCTGTTATGTAGCCGTCGGCTGCAACATCATGATGAAAAATATTAGGTTAAATCTTGAAATTGCTGCCATTGGATCATTGACAACACTAATTTCATATGGTTCAACTTAATCATTTCCCATGCCATTTTGACAAATTGGGCTGAGGAGTGGGGAGAGAGTAATACTGGCTCCAGGTTTTAGTTCAATCACTTAGAATAGCTCATAAAGCATGAATCACTTAAATTGATTGATACAAGTAAATCAGACTCTTGTGGGCAAAAGATTTTGTGTAATACAAGATCTTATTTGATTTCTTTATCTCTTTCTTGGCACATCTCAAATGTTAGGAAATATTTCCACAATCCTGAGCCTCAAAGCATTTGTCCTGATGCACGTGCTAATGAAGCTTGTGAATGTTTTATTTATACAGACTTCATAGTTTGTTGAATTTTAATTTTGAACAATTAAATCACAGAATGCAGTATTCTGTTTTCATTAAAAAAGCATTTAAATATTTCAAAGAGAAAGTGACTGTGTACCTTCCATTTTAGGGGTCTTTTAAACTAGGCAGACTTTGAGAAGTCTAAAATAAGCTATTTAGTTTGTGGAAGTGAACAGGAAGCTTTTAAGACTGGGCTACCCCTGGGGTGCGTGGTTGTCTCAGTTGGTGGAATATGAATGTCTTGATCTCCGGGCTGTGAGTTCAAGCCCCACGTTGTGTGCAGAGATTATTTAAAAATAAAATCTTAAAAAAAAAAAAATCCCTGGAAGTATAATGGCAGAGATGAAAGGGAAGGCATTAAAAAAAAAAAAAAAAAAAAGACTGGGCTACCCTTGAATTGCACAAAGATGTGCACAGAGCAGATTGGAAAATGGCAATCTTACCCTTTTTAAATTTTAAAACTTATGTATTTATTTTTTTTGAACAGGCAATATATTCACACAGTATAAATTCAAAAGTTATGGTGATGTCTCTTTCCCACAATTGCTCCTTACCCACTCAGTTCTCTTTTCCCAAGACAACTACTACTAGAAGAAAATCTTTAGGAGTATTCCAACCACGCCTTTCCCTAAAAATAGCAGCATACTGTATACACTATTCTGCTCCTTTTTGTCATTGTTTGTTTTTTACCCATCGGGCTACTTTGGAGACCATTCCAATTTGTGCAATGAGCGTCCTCATCTTTTTTTATGGCTGTGTAATATTCCACTGAATGGATGTACCATATTTCTTTAACCAGTCCCCAAGTGATGGACATTTAGATTGCTTTCAACCTATTATAAGCAGTGCTTCAAAGAATAACTGTATACATATGTCATTTTGCACATGTTCAAGTGTACCTTAGGGAAAAGTCCTACAGAGGAATTGCTGTATACAAGGACATATGTCTTTGTAATTTTGATAATGATGTCAAACTGCCCTCTCTTCCAGAGGGATTGCAGCAACTTACACTTCCACAGCAATGCATCAGAGCACTGGTTGTCCCACGAGTGGCGAGTCTCTTCCAGAAGAGAGGGCATAAAGGTGCTCCCTGCACCTTCTGTCTAGGTGTGTGGGCAGGACTCCAAAAGGATCTTGTTCCCATTTTTAATAACACAGAAAAATGCTCATTATATGGTACTAAAGGAACAAAACAGGATACAAATCTCAACCGTGTAAAAATTTGAGTGTGTGTAGAAAAAGAATGGAAAGATAGGATTAAAATATTACAGTATTTATGGGTGCCTGGGTGGCTCAGTCGGTTAAGCGTCGGACTTCAGCTCAGGTCATGATCTCACAGTTCATGAGTTCGAGCCCCCCCCACCTTGGGCTCTGTGGTGACAGCTCAGAGCCTGGAGCCTGCTGCAGCTTCTATGTCTCTATCTCTCTGCGTCTCCCTCACTCATGCTCTGTCTCTCAAAAATAAAATAAACATTAAAACATTTAAAATATTGACAGTATTTAAAGTCTTTGTACTTTTCTATAATTAGCTCTGGTTCTGTTTATAATCAGAAACAATGCTAAAGTCACTGCTGCTATTGTCCTTGGGTTAGGAATCTCATTCCCTTGTAAGATATCTCAGCAGAGTCCCCTTTCAGTAAAGCTCTCCTTTCTTTTTTTAATTAAAAAAAAATTTAATTTACATCCAAATTAGTTAGCATATAGTGCAACAGTGATTTCAGGAGTAGATTCCTTAGTGCCCCTTACCCATTTAGCCCATCCCCCCCACAACCTCTCCAGTAACCCTCTGTTTGTTCTCCATATTTAAAAGTCTCTTCTGTTTTGTCCCCCTCCCTGTTTTTATATTATTTTTGTTTCCTTTCCCTTATGTTCATCTGTTTTTTCTCTTAAAGTCCTCATATGAGTGAAGTCATATGATATTTGTCTTTCTCTGACTGACTAATTTGGCTTAGCATAAAACCCTCCAGTTCCATCCACATAGTTGCAAATGGCAAGATTTCATTCTTTTTGATTGCCAAGTAATACTCCATTGTATATGTATACCACATCTTCTTTATTCATTCATCCATTGATGGACATTGGGTTCTCTCCATACTTTGGCTATTGTTGATAGTGCTGCTATAAACATTGGGGTGCATGTGTCCCTTTGAAACAGGACACCTGTATCCCTTGGATAAATGCCTAGTAGTGCAATTGCTGGGTCGTTCCTAGGGTAGTTCTAATTTTAGTTTTTTGAGGAACCTCCATCCTGTTTTCCAGAGTGGCTGTACCAACT